AATAAGGGAGGAGTTACCTGTACTGGACATTCGCAATAGATTACAATAGATTACACCTTACCAATAAAGAAAAGAGCACAAGAGGCGGCTAAATGATTTAATAGATCCAAAATAGTAACAATAATTTCCCATAACGATAAAATGATAAGCACAAAGAGTTCAAGTCTGGGATGAATATACGTAGAGCTAGATACTTAATGTCGACTAAAACTAAATACTATAGTGTGTATTTCACTAAAGTAGAAATATAAACTAATCCTAAAAGTTAAACTAAAAGGCGGGTAAGCACTTCACACTAAGAAATGGTAGAGTAACGACACTTTCGGAATTCGCTTTAAAATTTCCTCTTGAACTTGTCTTTGGGTTTAACAGGTTAGTATCTTCTGATGACTAACCTTTAGAACCTGGTTCTATTGTAGACACTTATATACCCTTCTTTGATCTCTCACAGAACCAGATAATGGACCAGAGATACCTAGACACCAAACAGGTTTTACAGGTTAGTATCTTCTGATGACTAACCTGTAGAACCTGGTTCTATTGTAGACACTTATAGATACATCTGTGATCTCCCATATGACCAGATAAAGGACTAGAGATACCTAGACACCAAACAGGTTTTACAGGTTAGTATTTTCTGATGACTAACCTGTAGAACCTGGTTCTATTGCGGACACTTATAGATCCGTCTGTGATCTCCCATAGGACCAGATAATGGACCAGAGATACCTAGACACCAAACAGGTTTTACAGATTAGTATCTTCTGATGACTAACCTGTAGAACCTGGTTCTATTGTAGACACTTATAGACCCTTCTGTGATCTCCCATAGGACCAGATAATGGACCAGAGATACCTAGACACCAAACAGGTTTTACAGATTAGTATCTTCTGATGACTAACCTGTAGAACCTGGTTCTATTGTAGAAACGTATAGATCCATCTGTGATCTCTGACAGGACCAGATAATAGATCAGAGATACCTAGACATCAAACAGGTTTTACAGGTTAGTATTTTCTGATGACTAACCTATAGAACCTGGTTCTATTGTAGACATTGATAGATTCATCTGTGATCTCTCATGGGACTAGATAAAGGACCAGAGATACCTAGACATCAAACAGGTTTTACAGGTTAGTATTTTTTTATGACTAACCTATAGAACCTGGTTCTATTGTAGACACTTATTAATCCATCTGTGATCTCTCACAGGACTAGATAATAGACCAGAGATACCTGGACACCAAACAGGTTTTACAGGTAAGTATTTTTTTATGACTAACTGTAGAACCTGGTTCTATTGTAGACACTTAAAGATCCATCTGTGATCTCCCATATGACCAGATAATTGACCAGGAATACGTATACACCAAACAGGTTTTACAGGTTAGTATCTTCTGATGACTAACCTTTAGAACCTGGTTCTATTGCAGACACTTATAGATCCATCTGTGATCTCTCACAGGACCAGATAATAGACCAGAGATATACCTAGACACCAAACAGGTTTTACAGGTAAGTATATTCTGATGACTAACCTATAGAACCTGGTTCTATTGTAGACACTTATAGATTCATCTGTGATCTCTCATGGGACTAGATAATGGACCAGAGATACCTAGACACCAAACAGGTTTTACAGGTTAGTATTTTCTGATGACTTACCTGTAGAACCTGGTTCTATTGTAGACACTTATAGATCCATCTGTGATCTCTCACAGGACCAGATAATAGACCAGAGATATCTAGACACCAAACTGGTTTTACAGGTTAGTATCTTCTGATGACTAACCTTTAGAACCTGGTTCTATTGTAGACACTTATAGATCTATAAGTGATCTCCCATAGGACCAGATAATGGACCAGAGATACCTAGACACTAAACAGGTTTTACAGATTAGTATCTTCTGATGACTAACCTATAGAACCTGGTTCTATTGTAGAAACTTATAGATCCATCAGTGATCTCTGACAGGACCAGATAATAGATCAGAGATACCTAGACATCAAACAGGTTTTATAGGTTAGTATTTTTATAGGACTAACCTATAGAACCTGGTTCTATTGTAGACACTTATAGATTCAGCTGTGATCTCTCATGGGACTAGATAATGGACCAGAGATACCTAGACATCAAACAGGTTTTACAGGTTAGTATTTTTTAGGACTAACATATAGAACCTGGTTTTATTGTAGACACTTATAGATTCATCTGTGATCTCTCATAGGACTAGATAATGGACCAGAGATATCTAGACATCAAACAGGTTTTACAGGTTAGTATTTTTTTTATGACTAACCTATAGAACCTGGTTCTATTGTAGACACTTATCACTTATAGATCCATCTGTGATCTCCCATAGAACTTGATAATGGACCAGAGATACCTAAACACCAAACAGGTTTTACAGGTTACTATCTTCTGATAACTAAACTATAGAACGTGGTTCTATTGTAGGCACTTATAGACAGGTCCATCTGTGATCTCTCTTTGGACCAGATAATGGACCAGAGATATCTAGACACCAAACAGGTTTTACAGGTTAGTATCTTCTGATGACTATCCTGTAGAACCTGGTTCTAATATAGACACTTATAGATCCATCTGTGATCTCCGATAGGACCAGATAATGGACCATATATATACCAATTGATTCCCCTATATATTTATTTGTTTAGAAATGTTTTGATTGTTATGGACATTATTTAATGGTTTCAAAACATTAAATTCTTAATTGGATTTTTTTCGTATTGTTGAAAAATATGTCATAACAATCAGCTATCCCCATCCGGTCATGGTATTTGAGTGAATATAATAATCCTTTGTGTTTATAAAAATGAGATGTGGTATGATTGCCGATGAGACAACTATCCACCTAAGTTCAAAGAAGTGGATGTAAGCAATTGCAGGCAACCGTACAGCCTTGATCAATGAGAAAATTCCACACTGTATAGTCGGCTATTAAAGGTCATGACATGAGAATTATGAAACAATTCAATTGAGAAGACTAACGGCCTAATTAATAACAAAAGAATTTACGAAAGACAAATATGACAGACATGAACCAACGACAACCATTGAACTACAAGCTCCTGACTTGGGACAGGCACATATAGAATGTGATAGGGTTAAACATGTTTGATGGCGCATCTACAATTATTTAAGCTGTTAAATGGAACAGGAAGCAATAGAATGGGAAACATGTTTCTCTCATTATTTTTTGGTTATACATGTATACTGATATATTTTAGGTGATGATGTCGAGATATTCTTGGGTGTTTCTGCCAATTAATAAAGGCCAAAATCATTGGATCTTGTGAGCAGCAAAGATTCCTGAGCTGTCAGTGTCTATTTTAGATTCAATGAATGGACAAAATCATATTTTCATTGAAAATTGGAGGTATTTAATATTTGAATAATCATAATAATCTCAGTGTCAGTAATGTCAGAGGAGATCTAAAACACGATTGTCCTTACATCAGTATTAGACCTGGATCATGAGCTAGTGCATTCAGTTTAATATATGGATTTAAGAACGAAACCAGTTATGATTTTGAAAATCGGATTCAATAATACATTAGTATTCCCCTCTACATCAAGCTATTCAATATAATCATCTATTTCATTTCTTGGAGAATTATTTTCAATGGAGAAAATATATCACCTTATTTTATTTCTTTTTAATGTGTCATCATTTACCACCAATAGTAGTAGGCCATTTTTAAAAGAATTATTGGATTCAGTCTTATGTTGCTGGTCTCAATCAAACATGCACAAAAAACAGTACAAAATATTTTATCAACTGTAAACAAAAATCTGTTGGAAGAATGTACACTTTTAAACTTTGCAAATGAATGTTTTGATGATTTACAGAAAATATGTGGAAAAAAGAGGCAAGGAGGTTGGTAAATTGAGTGGTCCTTGGAAGAATGGAAACTTAATTTCTGGTCATCAAAAAGATGGCCATAGCTGTGGGCCATTTGTCTTAATGGTATATTATGTAACTAGCTGATTTACCTATACAAACATGACAAATAGTTTGATGTGGAGTCAACATGACATCACATCACTTTACATAGTTATATCCATATAATTTTGATTTTTTGTTTCAAATGAAATCTGATACACACTCACCACAGTTAATTTTAACACAACCGTATAAAACTTTGTGTAAAATATGAATGGAAATTTGGTAATTAAACACCAGACACAATCTTTTATAACACCAAATTAGAATACCACCACAAAACAATATCCCAAGGTCACAAGTGTGGCCTTCAAAAATGGGAGCTCCCAAACCTGAGGAAGGAAGTTTGGGAAGGCCCCTAATAAAAATCAGACACAAATATCCAAAAAGGTACAAATAAAAGAACCCACAAACTAAATGCCAGAAGGATGTCATCATTTTACAAGTTGTATTCTGAACATTAAAACTAGTTCTTTCAATACCAATATTTATCAGCTTGGACATTATTCAAACTTTAGGAGGCAAATTACTTTGTCATCCTGTATAGGAATTTATGGAAGCTATTAAATGTTGTAGATGTCTCTTTGTCTGTTTGATATGATGTGTTAAAATAACTTGACCTTAACCTTTTGGTTATTCTTTTGTAACAGAGCAATTGATTATTGAAGTCGCAAGAGCGAACACTAAATTTATGTACTGCAACTTTCACATGAAAAATATATAAATTTGTTTCTTGATTCATTTTTTCTATTATTTCAGAATGCACTAGCATTGTCGAAAGGTATCATGCCATCCTACCTTTCGCAAAAATGTGCATTGATGATGAGACAGTATGTTACTTCAAAGATTGTGAGATCAGCAAAGGAGCCTAAATCTCAAAGAACAATGTGTGACATGCTCGAGTGCAACAGACCAAGTAAAGACTCTTGGGTGCAGTGTAAAGTATGTGGCAAATGGCTACATTTCACTTGCGTCAATCTGAAAAGTGCATCGGACAGTGAATATCTTTGCATCATTTGTGATGCACAGTACCAATAAAAAAATCAGATTGTTGAGGTAGCACTCCACAGTGTGCAATAAAATTCATTTTTAGATAGCTGAAGATTAATTTGCCTGGTTTATATTAACATCAAGATTGTTTAATATATGGATGTGGTGGTTAGTCCTCATAAGATACTAACCTGTAGAACCTGGTCTGTGTCTGTGGTTTAAAGGGTCTTATTATCAGTCCGCTGTCAGAGGTCGCGTGTGACAACTATAGTATCAGGTTGTAGGGGTTAGTCTTCAAAAGATACTAACCTATAAAACCTGGTCTGTGTCTGTGGTCTTAAGGGTCTTATATACAGTCCTCTGAGGTAGTATGTGACAACTATAGTACAAGGTTGTGGGGGTAAGTCCTCAGAAGATACTAACCTGTAAAACCTGGTCTGTGTCTGTGGTTTAAAGGGTCTTATAATCAGTCCTCTGTCAGAGGTCGCGTGTGACAACTATAGTTCCAGGTTGCGGGGTTTAGTCTTCATAAGATACTTACCTGTAAAACCTGGTTTGTGTTTATGGTCTAAAGGGTCTTATAATCAGTCCTCTGATGTAGTAAGTGACATTTATAGTACCAGTTTGTGGAGGTTAGTCCTCATAAGATACTTACCTGTAAAACCTGGCTTGGATCTGTGGTCTCAAGGGTTTTATAAACAGTCCTCTGTCAGAGGTCGCATGTGACAACTATAGTACCAGGTTGTGGTGGTTAGGCCTCAGAATATACCAACCTGTAAAACCTGGTCTGTGTCTGTGGTCTTATAATCAGTCTTCTGAGGTAGTATGTGACAACTATAGTACCAGGTTGTGGGGTAAGTCCTCAGAAGATATTAATCTGTAAAACCTTGTCTGTGTCTGTGGTCTAAAGGGTCTTATAATCAGTCCTCAGAGGTAGTATGTGACAACTATAGTACCAGGTTATGGGGGTTAGTCCTCAGAAGATACTAACCTGTAAAACCTGGCTTGTGTCTGTGGATAAAAGGGTCTCATTATCAGTCCTCTGAGGTAGTACGTGAATACTGTAGTACAAGGTTGTGGAGGTTAGTTCTCAAAAGATACCAACCTGTAAAACCTGGTATATGTCTGTGACCTTAAGGGTCTTATACACAGTCCTCGGAGGTAGTGTGTGACAACTATAGTACCAGGTTGTGGTGGTTAGTCCTCGTAAGATACTAACCTGTAAAACCTGGCTTGTGTCTATGGCCTTAAGGGTCTTACATACAGTCCTCTGAGGTAGTATGTGACAACTATAGTACCAGGTTGTTAAGGTTAGTCCTCAAAGATACCAACCTGTAAAACCTGGTTGGGAGTCTATAATCCACAGTGGTCCAATTTGCAGTCCTCTGAGGTGTCAGACATCAGTCAGTTTCAGTTTCTACTAAATACCAGAGTAATGAGGTTAGTCCCCAGAAGATACCAACTTATTCAACGTGGTTGGTGTTTCCGGTTCAAAGGGTCCAAATGTGAGTTTTTTAGGGTATTTTGTGTCTACTAAAGTACCAGGTTATGGTGGTTAGTCCTCAGAAGATACCAACCTGTTAGTCCTCAGAAGATACCAACCTGTAAAACCTGATCGATGCCTTTGTTCCAAATTGGCCAAATTGTCAGTCCTCTAATGTATTCTGTGTCTACAAAAGCACCAGGTTGTAGTGGTTAGTCCTCAGAAGATACCAACTTGTAAAAACTGGTTGGTTTCTCAGATACAAAGGGGTCCATTCTTAGTCCTCTAATGTGTCGGGTATTAGTTAGTTTGTTTCTACTTAATATGAAGTTGCTGAGGTTAGTCCTCAAAGATACACACCTGTAAAACCTGGTATGTGTCTATGGCCTTAAGGGTCTTATATACAGTCCTCTGAGGTAGTATGTGACAACTATAGTACCAGGTTGTGGGGGTTAGTCCTCATAAGATACTAACCTGTAAAACCTGGTCTGTGTCTGTGGTCTAAAGGGTCTTATATACAGTCATCTGAGGTAGAATGTGACAACTATAGTACCAGGTTGTTAGGGTTAGTCCTCATAAGATACTAACCTGTACAACCTGGTCTGTGTCTGTGGTCTAAAGGGTCTTATAATCAGTCTTCTGTCAGAGGTAGTATGTTATGTGACAACTATAGTACCAGGTTGTGGGGGTTAGTCCTCATGAGATACTAACATGTAAAACCTGGCTTGTATCTGTGGCCTTAAGGGTCTTATATACAGTCCTTTGAGGTATTGTGTGACAACTATAGTACCAGGTTATGGGGGTTAGTCCTCAGAAAGTAACAAACTATAAAACCTGGTCTGTGTCTGTGCCCTAAAGGGTTTTATATACAGTCCTCTGAGGTAGTATGTGACAACTATAGTACCAGGTTGTGGGGGTTAGTCCTCATGAGATACTAACCTGTAAAACCTGGTCTGTGTCTGTGGTCTAAAGGGTCTTATAATCAGTCCTCTGTCAGAGGTAGTATGTGACAACTATAGTACCAGGTTGTGGGGGTTAGTCCTCATGAGATACTAACCTGTAAAACCTGGCTTGTATCTGTGGCCTTAAGGGTCTTATATACAGTCCTTTGATGTATTATGTGACAACTATAGTACCAGGTTATGGGGGTTAGTCCTCAGAAAGTAACAAACTATAAAACCTGGTCTGCGTCTGTGCCCTAAACGGTCTTATAAACAGTCCTGTGAAATAGAGTTTGACAACTATAGTACTAGGCTTTGGAGGTTAGTCCTCATAAGATACTAACCTGTAAAAAATGGCTGGTGTCTATGATACAAAGGGGTCCAATGTTTAGTCCTCTGAGGTGTCGGACATAAGTTACTAGACTACCCTTCAATTTCCTCTTTTATTTTTTTCAATCATCTTTCTACTCGTTTTTTAAACGATAATTTTTCGTTTTATTAAAAATAAATGGGGAGTGTGTCCATGGGACACAGATGATGCCCCTGCTTGCATATAACTTAAAAAGAGACATAACTCAAGAACAGAAAAAGTGACACTATCCAAATGTGTACTTGATCTGAGTTTTGTGGTAATAAACATTGTGTATAAGTTTCATAACATTTGGTTAAAGCAAACTAAAGTTAAACATCGGAAACGAAAAATTCAGCAATTTTTCAATTTGTAAAGGGTCATAACTCTAGAACAGGAAAAGTGAGGCCACCAAAATTCAAACTTTATCAGTGTTTTTTGGGTAATAAGCATTGCACATAAGTTTCATAACATTTGGTTGAGGCAAACTTAAGTTAGAGAACGGAAACAAAAAATTCAGCAATTTTTCCATTTGTTAAGGAGCATAACTCTAGAATGGTATAAGTGACGCCACCAAAATTCAATTGTGATCTGTATTTTGTGGTAATACGGATTGTGTATAAGTTTTTTAACATTTGGTTGAGGCAAACTTAAGCTGGAGAACGGAAACCAATTTCGGGACGTACAGACGTACACACGGACAAGGGTAAAACTTAATGCCCCTTCCACTACGGCGGGGGCATAAAAACATGCATGAGTCACATTTCATTTAGTAACCCGATGTTTTCATCACTTAATAACGATCACGTGATAACGATAATTGCTATCCTTTTCATTTTTATTATAACGTTCCGGAAAAAATGTCCCTAACGATATTCACCAGAGTCTTAATTTAAAAATAGAAGGAATTCCGATCTAAAAATAGAAAATGAATGACCTGGCTACCGAGGTTGTTTTTTAGTCGCTTCCTTTTGTTTAGGCCGATTTACAGTTCAAAACAAAGAATTTGTATAAATGAGTTACAACTGCCTGAAGCACATTTATTAGGATTATTGATTTAAAGTTGAATTTTGAAACAAACAAAAATGATCAAAATAAGTTTGAAGTTTACTTGTGCAAAGTGCAATTCATACCATTTGTGTTATCATGTGAAAACTGAGAACTTTCAAATTACAAAAAAAAAAGTATCAAGAAGAAAAAGAAAAAAAATTTTGATTGAGTTAAGCTATTTCAGTTGATATTTTATAGTATGTCTTTCTATGTTGTGATGTTACACTATTGTTTCAGAAAAGGGTGAAGGTTTGGTACCATTAAAATGTTTAAACCCGTTGCATTTGTTTGCACCTGTCGTAAGTCAGGAATCTGATGTTCAATAGTTGTCGTTTGTTGATGTGGTTCATAAATTTTTCTCGTTTCTCGTTTTTTATATAGATTAGACCGTTGGTTTTCCCGTTTGAATGGTTTTACACTAGTAATTTTTGGGGCCCTTTATAGCTTGCTGTTCGGTGTGAGTCAAGGCTCCGTGTTGAAGACCGTACTTTGACCTATAATGGTTTATTTTTATAAATTATGACTTGGATGGAGAGTTGTCTCATTGGCACTCATACCACATCTTCTTATATCTATTTTAAAATCAAATATAACCTAAATCTTTAGCTACATGTATTACGCTTATCAAAAGTCAGATAACTGTATTCGCAGTTAGTAAGAATAGTCATTTCCAAAATACCGGTATATACAGGAAATTGAATTTACTTTTGAATTTCCTATAAAAAGCAATTCCTTTCCAAATTTAAAATTTAGTTAATTAAGTAGTATTTAATGTAAAGGGCTGGAATAAAATTGGCTGTGGAATACAATTTAGTTGTAACTCTGATTTTGAATTTATCTAATTGAACTGTAGATAAACAAAAAGATAAGTCCTCACTAAAATATTACATAATTTACACTCATACTCACAATTAGGAAACTTATACAATTTCTACAATTTCATTGTAACGTTGTGTCATCTAATGTCTAAAACACAATTTATTAAAATTTCGCAAATTAAAAGTAAGTCCTTACATCACTAAGACCAATACATAAATGAAATGCATAAAAGGGAAGTCATACATTAATTATAACATTTCACGGACAATGAAACAAATTCTTGAATAAAACCAATCCAGAGATCATTTGAGCCTTGAGCACTTTACAATATTCTAAGTTTGTAAGAGAATGATAATCCCTTTCATCATGATAAGTACTCGCTAACGCTCGTACTTAATCATGAAGA